GCGATCATGTATATTTCGATATATAACTGATGAGTAATTCACACTTAGGCGATACAGGACTGAGGAGGCAGATTTTTTTCCCCCGTAGTAGGTTGCTATTTCTTTCTGCGGGTGACCAGTTGTCATCAAAGTCTATAGAACCCGGTCTGTCCTATTTATTCATAGCTGGGGGAGAAGATTCATTCCTTTATGAAGGTATTAGCACGTAAGTTAATGTAATGGATTCGACTGGAATTCGAAATCGGCTCTCCGATTCCTCAATCCGAGCCGCTATCCATTACTCCACCATGCCTCCTCACTATTTTTTTTGTCTTATGTCAAAATGTATCTATGCAGATTATATAAGCACGGTGGAGTAATATGGATAGCGGCTTGGGTTGATGAATCGGAGAGCCGAGTTCGAATTCCAGTCGAATCCATTACATTCAATTACGTGCTAATACCCTTGGGAAATGTTTGAGTCCACTTCCTATCCCCACCCCGGTTAAATATCAGGACCGACCGGGTTCTATAGCCTTGGATGGCAACTGGTCTACCACAGGAAGAAATGGCAACCTACTGCAGGAAAAAAAATCTGCCTCGTCAGTCATGTATCCAAAGTTATGACGCATGGCACATAACTGATGTTTGCATCCCACAAATCTAGATAGCCAGAGCCTGGCAGCCTGATCTCAACTCTGACTTAGGTCAATGGAAGAAAAACTGATGTAGAACATTAAATACCTTAAAAAATCAAACCAGAAATGTTCAATCATCACGGAGCAGAATCTTACTTCTAGCCCGTGTTGAATACTTCTTCTTTTCAATTAGAGCCCTTACCTTGAACGTCTACTGGGTCTAAAGTACACGTATGTTGTAGAGTAGTTTTCACAGTGGAGGCTTGTATTTCAATAAGTCGTCCTAAATTAGGTTCGACGTGCAAAACGTTAGAAACTTGAAATAAGAGTTAATGACGCAGCAAATCTAGTTGTGATGGATAATACTTCATTGTCCGACAGACCCACTCAACAGCACTAATATTTATTTGCATTTTAAAAAAATACAAAATGCGGCACAAAGCCAAAGAGGGGGGTGGGGGAATGACGGTCTTCTTCTGACTTAATCTAAAACTTAGCTAGTCACAGATACTGACCCAAACATGCCAACAATAATCCAATCACCAAAACATCACATTCACTCCTACCATTCTTACTACGTCCACCATAATACCTCAGTTTCTCTATGATGTCCTAACTAGTCCCATATGTACAAATATTGTTCATGGGGGGAGGGTCATAAAAATAACAACTTTAAAAAAATCCCCAAATGCGTATTTACAAAATGAAATAATTATATACAATAAAACTAAACAAAACTAAGTTAGTAATAAAACCCCCCACAAACTATGAATGTGGCAGAAATGTCAATTAACCAGACGAAATCGATGCGGGACTAAGAAAATGATTACACATTCAGACCATCAAGCATTCACACAAACACTCACTCATTCATACACAACAACAAATACGAAAACACACACCCGAAACGAAAGGCGCCCCACATCCACCAGAAAATTGACATCACTAACCACCTAACGAGGGAGGGGATGGGGAATTAAACAAAAGTAAAAAAAATGGGACAGAAATAAAAGGGACCAATGAGCTTACATACCCTAGCTAAGTTAAACGGGAAAAAAAGAAAAACTAAATATTCAAAAACAAAAACCTAGTCTAACCTAATATCTGGATGGGTTGCCTACGTTCAACCCTGTTAGGACAATATTCTGTGCCTAACCGACATCTAAATGCCACTCTAGGTCAGCCCCTTTCACTCTACACATTCGCGCAAGATTCACCCACCTTTGGCGAATTCTGATGATGGGAGCCGCCGCCTTTTTCCGTCCTAATCTTGACTTTAGCTGATGCCTCCAAAGTACAAGATCAGTTGGGAAGAGGAGAACTTCTCGCCTTCATAGAATCCCTTCTGTCGCGTCGTCCAAATCACGACTCGCATAACCCCTAGTAAGCAACAGAACACATAGTGTTCAGCCTTCGTCAATTGCGATACCACATTGCTACAAACAGAACTGGCTTCCAGGACAAAAAACTTTCCTGCAGCATGCGAGGCCTTCAACAAACTTGCACAACGGCACTACCGCACTGCACTGAAAAAAGGCGTGACCAATGGTCTCGACATTCCCAGTACAGCGACGACAGTTTGGATATTTCTCCAAGCCTGCTGCACAAAGTCTTTGCCGACCCAGAGGGCCCCGCGAATCATCAGCCAGGTGAGTGATGCCTCATCGTTATTGAGACATTTCAACCCAGGCGCCCAAAGGCCATATCGAGCGAGCCTCCTGCTTCGTAAGACCGAGCTCGTCGATCAGATCATCTTGAACGGCCCCCTAACTAACACACGATATAATGCCTTACGAGACAACGCTTGGGCGTCGGAGAGGCCAACCGACGACCGCAAGAGGAGCTTCAAAGCACGACGACATTCACGATAGAAGGAGTACAACCGGCCTCCTCCTCGCACGAGTGCACACTTCTCAGGGATGGGAAATGTTTACGGACATCTTCTTTCCAAAAGGTGCCCACCTCATCCAAACCGCGACACATTCGGTCGAGAAAGGTAATGCGTAGCATATATTGACGAATCTCAATGCTAGGCATTCCCAGACCGCCCTCAGAGGGATGAAGGCAACAGATCTCGCGAGATGCCATGTGGGCCTTGTCTCTCCACAAGAAAGAGAACAAGGCCTTGACTAATGACATTAGTCGGGCACACGGGAGTGGAAGCACAGAAAGACGGTAGAGGAGTATCGGATAGATGTGGGAACCACAAACTTCCGCCCTTCCTTCAGGGAAAGTCTCCTCCGAGACCACAGACTAGCCGCGGCCCTCAGCCCGCCCCTGTACCTCCGACCAATTCTTTTCCAACTGGAGATCAGGACCGAACCAGACGCCGAGTATCTTGATCGGCCCATCCGTCAGAGGAAAGGTCCGGGAAGAGAAACTCCTTCCACGCACCCAACCGCAAGCCCACAGACTTATCGCGGTTGATTTTGGCCCCTGTCACCATCTCATACCCACTGATCTGCTTACTGACTTCGTTAATCTCGGCTCTGCTCGACACAAGAACCGAAACGTCGTCAGCATAGGCAGAATACCTGGCCGAGGTGTTAGCACCAGGCAGCCCACTCAACAGCACTGAGCCCAACTGGCCACTGCTACTACTACTTATTATCTGTGGTAGAGTCTATTACAATAGAATAGGTATTATGGTATAACAACGTTAGACCCTAAGTGTAACACACGCATAAGATCCATTGCTAAACATGCTGCAAAATGGTCGATTGCGTGTATCACTCCAGTTGCTATCTGATTCCACCACCTATGCTCTCTTCGCAAGAACCAGATCAAAGTAAAATTAAAATGCAGTTGCCATATCTGGACAGAAACAGTCAACTTCTCTCTTTCGTGTATTGAGAGAGTTGAGAAACATTTCGTAGCCTTTGCTACTCTATAGTTATTAAGGCTTACGTCCATATAAGTTTGAATCACCGGCTCCCATACCATCACGGAAGTTAAGCAAAGTCGATCCTAGTTAATACCTAGATGGTGAATTCATGGCAATACCAAGTTCTGTAAACTTTCATGTGCCAGTGGTGTAATAGATAATGGCTCATAATTGTAATTCTGAGAGCTGCGTTCCAATCCCCGTTACGATCGTTATATTAACTTACGTGAAAATACCCCTTATGAAAGGTATGTATCCATCTCTTTTTCCCCCAGCTATGTGTTAATTATTAGGACTAAACCATTATCTCTCGCCCCACAAAAAACTTAGAATTTAGAAATATTTTCTGGCATTAATAACCTGCAATATGTTGATAAACCTCAAAAAACGAATGGATCACCCAGTCCATCTATCGCTATTACCATCGCAAATGTTTTCATGATCCTCATTTCTTAGTTTCACAAGTTCAGATCTTCACCGCTAAAACCATCGATACCATGTACAGTGAGACGAATGGTCCGCATTCTTTAAGTATCCTATTAGTAAAAATGAAGCTCTAATCTGACAGCATCTTCCGAAGGTGTACTAGATGGTGGAAACAACCTCATTCAGTAACCTTACATTAAGTGTCTCTTGGGCCTTGAATATGGTGAACCATTATTACAAAACTGTGTAGTTTAGGCAAACTGCCTTTTCAACCTATTTTTGTTCAGAAAAATAAATACCGAAATAGGAAACAATATTAGCAAATACATTGATCAGGTCAGCGGATTTGCAACAATGAAAATATTTCAGACGATTCCATTGGCAGCATATATTTCCTACTTTTATATGCGGGGTTGCTTTCTTTCATTAACGCAATTTATACTTGCTTAATTACTACATTTGTGTGTTAGAACAACATGAAGGAATCCGAACGCATTAGCATATCCTATTTCAGTTGCAAAATGAATGTATTCATTTAGACCGGAAGTTTCATCAAAGGATAAGGAATGTTTTCATATTTTCAAAGAAAATACGTGAAGTTTCATTTCCGCTTTGAATTTCTGAATTATTAAAAGTACGAGCGGTTATTGCAACACATTTCAGCACTGAAAATAGAATCTGAGAGCAGATGTCAAATCTCACCTTAATCTGTTGTCTTCACTTTTGTAGAAATGGCCGTTAGGAATCCGTTTTCTCCTCCGAGCTATGGGTCTTTAAGCAGGGGGGTTAGATTAACGCTCTGACCTAAGGGGGCAAATAGTCGAAGAGAAAGAAAACCTATTTACGAACCGTGAAGAAATTTACAGGAAATTACTCCACTATATTTCTCAAGAAATGTCAGTTCTCTTATAAACAATAAAGCAATTGTTATTAAATATACTCAGAATCCATAGCGAAACATAAACTGATTATTTACAAAGTCATACGTGTTTTAGCGCGGTGCGGGTCTAATATTAATATGCCACAAATTATATTATTATACAAAGAAACCTATTGAAGCAACCGGTAGTCTTACGGCCATAAGTTGAAACACCGGTTCTCTTACGTTCACAAAAGTTAAGCAACATTGTGTCTATTCAGTATCTAGATGGGTGACTGCTTGGGAATACAAGGTACTGTAAGTTCGGATGTTTTGGTGATATAACGATAACGGCTCGGAATTATAAAGCAGTGCGCCGTATTCTAATTCCAGTTCTAATTCGGGTTCATTATATTTACTTACGTGCCAATATCTTTGGGAAAGGTATAGATCCACCTATTTTTCCTTCTAGATAAATATTAAATGTATCAGTAAATTATTATATATATCCTTTCACTCTAAAAATATTTCCTTGCTTTAAATAACCAGCAATGGCTTGATCAACTGTAAAAACAAATCAAAGTAACCTGTGATATCATGAGAATTTATTATGTATGTTTGGGTTTTTTTTGGGGGGGTGCTTTCTTAAAATTATATATGATGCCTACACCAATAATATAATGAAGAAAATGTATTCGATAGAAAAATTTGTATATTCTCATATAATTTACGTGGATCAGGTGGTTCGTTGTCATGTTAGCTGTCAAATCAACGTTGACAGTTTTAAATAAATTATTTGCATAGTTGGGCTGCTTACTAGTTTGTTTCGATAACCTACCAGTGGTAGGCATCAAGAGGTTAAGAGGCCCTAGATCGATATGATCATAGAAATTGTGTTACGTGGGACACTGGGTATTTGTAGCACAGCTGGAACATTTCCAACCACTTGCTCTGTCTAGAGTGTACCCACCGTGTATCACCTTGTGATCATCAGTGGCATTGATTGTTCGACAAGAAAAATGAAAGGCTCTATGATATAGTCGTCTTTATTCACAATCACCAGGACTCTCATAAATGGCATGAACTAAGTCGACGTTTCTGTTGGTTCTTCTGTGTGATCTGTGCAAAATAATATCTTATTTTCAGGTTTTCTTTTTTGTTTGTTCCAAATCTCAATGATTGGCTGAAAATGACAGGATGATTTAGTCTTTTCGTTTCCTGTTTCAAATGGGAAAACTGCTTCATTAAATTTTGATACACCTAAAAATTAGGAAAATTACGTTCGGTCTTTATTCATACATCATCCTCTATAGATATTCGATGTTTGCATAGCATAGTTATACAATGTGTGTACGAAAAGAAATCTTCAAACACAGCTCTACAAATTTAAATAATTTGTGCATAAAAGTAATGTTTGCTTTTAAGTTGAAAACGTCATGTTACAAAGTTCCTTGAAAAAAAGTCCAAAGTTTTTTTGTTTTTTTTTCTTCTTTTTGCAACACAAATAATTGAATTGCGTTGGCATGATTGAAAATATGTACATGAATGCTTAATGCTAAATATATGTATTTACGTTATTTTATATATGAATGTTAATATCGTGTGATTCCAGCAGCATGCAAATCTCTCAGTTGTGTTGTATTTCTACTACTGCGACAATTCGCTTTGTTTACATATATCGCTCGTATATTTTTCGTGTTGTGTGAATTATTTTAAAAGCGAGAAGATAAGCGCAAGAAAAGATTTATAACTCCAGTTATCTGAAAGTGTGAGAAATTAATTTACGCTACGGTATTTATAAAAATACGAAGTTAGAATTACTGAACACAGATGTTTTATTGGTTAATATATCTCCCACTTTTTAATTTCTATTTTTAGTGTCGAAAACAATGTTAATCATTTTCTGGAGTGATCTTTCAAATGTTGTGACAAACGAGCAGTGGAGACGTCTGCTGCTTGAAAGAGTGAATGGCGTGTGTGGTAACGTCGCTGATTGGTTAATAAATGCTAATGCGGAAATCTGAATTTGTAGCTCTTGTGAGACTACTGTTGCACAAAAATGAGCTGATGTATGTGGGAGGCAATTTCTGCACAGAATTGAGATTTCAGTGATGTTTCTTAAGTCTAATTTTTTTGCTACAATTTTTAAGGGGGGTGCACACACACATATATATATATATATATATATATATATATATATATATAAGCAGACGATAAATCTATGGCAAAATGTTTTAATAAATCTAGAGTTTAAACAAACGTAGTTTTATTAGATAAATTTTACAGTAATATGTATTACTTTATATAATATATATTAATGATTTCTTTTGCCTTGATTATAACGTACCAAACAGTTTTGTCTTTCTAAATTATTTATGACTTTAACTGAGCATTTATCTGCAGACAGTTGTTTTGTTTACTCCATACTCTGACAGTATATATAAATTGCTTTTATTATGTAATAATTATGATATTCATTCAGCTGAAGCTATCGGAAGGATTAAATTTATTGTCGGAACATTACCCTTTGATACTGGAAATTGTGGTTTTAACATCATTTAATTCCGGATCGTCTCTGTTTCAACGACATTCCACCGAGTCTCGCCTTTGGTCAGTATGATACAAATTGCTACTAAGGGAATACCAGTGTATCAAAAACAATAACAGGCCTCTACTAAGGTCATATCTATTGACAAGCTTGATATGTTGCTGTATGTTGTATTAACCATAGGAAAATAAAATGTTAAACCTAAACCCATATCTCGATTTAGCTTGAAGATTTTACTTATATGAAAATAAATGTTAAATAAAACACAAGTTCCTTTTTTTTAATGTGGTAGTTGTCAAAAGATACGCAAGTTTTAATGTATTCTCACATATGATTCTGATCCCATTATTCGTTCTAATGCAAATATTAGCCGTTTCCTTCATAAGCTAACATTCGGCATTCATTGACCGAGAAGCCAGTGCTACCGTCGCATGAACTTTACCAGATTTTACTTTGAAAATAATTTTTCAGGAATTTTTTCTCATGTCCAGTGTCTGTTATATCTAGGATTCAAGGAGACAGAAGATGGACATTCCATTTCAATTTTTGAATATCGTTGTTGATAGAACCCTTAGGCCCCACAAGCGAGAAGTGCAACAGAAGAAAAAATATCTTAAAACACAAGCGATCCATTTTAGCTGTTGCTGCTGAGGAATGTCTTCAAGTGAAGGACTTCTGTTATTTGACACAGAATGGGAATGTTTAAAGATTCATCTTTATATCCTGAGAAACGCAGAATATAGCGCGGCCTTTTGGTTTGATGTCAGGTTATACCATTTCCTGTAGGAATCGAGTGGTGCTTCCTGATTTTTCGTTTCTTAAATACAATTCCCTGGACGGATCCACAGTTCAGACTTCTGTTGTCTGTAAGAGTGGGGTGGGTATCAATAGAAGAAATTTCATTTTGGCTTAACTCGGTTAAAAGTAATTTAGGTGAACATAACTGCAGAATGAAAATCTGATTTTCTTTCCACCAACACGTGTTTCATCATGAATTTCAGTGCATAACTTCTAAAAAAAAAAAAAATAATTATTATAATCGATAATTCTTTCCGCTATACGCACATAAAAAGTGAATAAAAATAGAAAAATATATTAAAATATTCAAAATCCGTCGATGAACACAATAACAGAAAACTAATGAACCAAAAATATCAATCATTATAAATTTAAATAAAAATATACCACTGATAACCGACATTTAAATATCGTAGTTACAGAGGGTATATTTTTTTTATTTTATTTAATACAGAATATGGATTCACTAATTGATTTCATAGAAAATAGGCTTTCACACCGTAACCGATAAAATTCACCCGGTTTTTATATCTCGCTATGTTTTTCGAAATTTTTTAAAATATTGAAACGAAAAGATAAAATAGAGGAAATTGATTACTTGGGGGAAGTACTAATCCTAATAGCGTAAAAAAAAACATCGCTTTTTACTACATCTTTTTTTAATATTTTCACTATGATAAATAATTATACACTAAGAAATCAATAAAATATGATCGGAGGAATATTTTATTAATCAATCCACATGAGGATATGCTGTGAATAATATCGCAGGTTAAACAAGAGGATAAACCGTTTACTTCTTAGGAAAAAGTTATTTTCAAAAATGGCTTGAGAACTTCTTAGAAACTCCTATGAAATTTTCATTTATTTGATAAAGATATTAGAATAATCCGGTATATATATATATATATATATATATATATATATATATATATACAGGGAACAGCCAGCCTGTATACGGACATAAAATGAATTAGTCCATAAAAGCAAATCAGAAAAGCTGCTATTTACTGAATATATATGTTAGGCTTACAGTAAGAAATACTAACGTTCCTATCAATCTATCTGTATTCACAATTTTAACAACCTAAGTACGTACATTGCACAGTACTGATGACGTACTAAGACAATTTCATGAAATCCTAGATAACGTATTAAAGAAAGAAGTGTCAAAAGAGGTAATATTTCTACTGTAAGACGATAGAGAATATGGTCGTTAACAAATGGGAAAACAGAGTTGTAAGCTAATAGTCAGAAACGTCAAAACCGAACTTTTTTTTTTTTAATTGAGTTCAGCCTAAGGAAGGGAGTAAGGTCATAGAGCGGCAAGGGTTTACTGCTAAGGAGGAGAAGATATGAAGAGTAAGCAGAACAGCCGATAGCGATTTACATTGCATTTAAATTTTTGCAGCTTAAATTCAGCCGAATCCACGGTGACGAAAGGGAATTCCACAAGCATCTAGCCAGCAAAAATGTAAATTTGGTAAGACCTCGTCCTCAGTTTAGTAATGCGCTTAAATTCAAACAGTCTAGGCACCATAGTGAAGAGCAATATTTATTCTGTTTAATACACAGTTATGTGACACAAGGCCGGAGGGGGGATTGGGAAAAAGACGAACTTCTGTCTTAACTATAATTTAGCTAGACACAAACACTGACCCAATCGTACAAACAATATTCCTTGCACCAAAACAACACATTCCTACGTATATTTCTTACTACAGCCACCATAATAATTCACTGTCTCTATGAAAATACTAATCCCCATATTTACAATTCACTGTCAGTGGGAGGAGGTGAATAAAACAACAATTCTAAAAACTAGCCCCAATAAGTATTTACAGTATGAAAGCAAAATCTATTTACAAGAAACTAAATAAAATAATATTAGTAATAAACCACCCCCACAATCACTAAATATGGCAGAAATATCAGTTCATCGGCCGAAATCAATGCGTGATAATATTAGTATAAAG